CTTACGTAATTCCCATTATCATGTAACAGAATCTATAAGCCTCTTTATGATCCACACAGGCCTACCGTTCCAGCTTCACTCCTTGTTGCCCCAACCAGACTCAGCCAAGCAGCCATTTTGAGCTGGTGGACATATTCTAATGTGGTCGGGAAGTGCAAGGACTTTGGAGTCAGAGACCTTGGTTTCCACCAGGTCCCTGCCACTTACTTAGCTGTAGGACCTTGGGAAATTTAATTCATCTTTCAGAGCCTCAGTTTTGTCATGTGTGAAGTGGGGATAGTATCTGTCCTCCCAAGATCACTGTCAGAACTACCTGTTTAAAAACCGCTTTTTGGGGGGCGCCTGGGGGGCGCAGTCGGTTAAGCGTCCGACTTCAGCCAGGTCACGATCTCGCGGTCCGTGAGTTCGAGCCCCGCGTCGGGCTCTGGGCTGATGGCTCGGAGCCTGCAGCCTGTTTCCGATTCTGTGTCTCCCTCTCTCTCTGCCCCTCCCCCGTTCATGCTCTGTCTCTCTCTGTCCCAAAAAAATAAATAAACGTTAAAAACAAACAAACAAACAAACAAAAAACCGCTTTTTAATGGAATGGAATGGAATGAGAGCCAGTGAGGAGGCGAGGGACTCAGGGAGGGAGGAAGAGAGAGAGCCAGGGAGGGGGCGAAGGAAGACTTCAGACATGATGAGACGGAGGGAAGAAGGAAGTGAGCTAGCAAATAAGGGCGGAAGTGAAGCAAGGGCAGAGGTAGAAAAACATTTTAATTAAAAATATTTTATTAAAAAATAAAAGCACTTATGCTTCTGTAGTGCTGCTGCTGCTGCTGCTGCTGATGACGATTTTCCTCAGGAAACTCCCTGCCCTCCCAACATGGTGGAAGGTGTTCCTGTATCCACAGCTCCTGTACTGGCCTCAAAACAGCATAAATTCCTGTTAATTCTTCATCTCTGTTCTTGAGTTGTGAGCTCTGTGAGAGCAGGGTCATTTTGTCTTGTTCAGCTTGGTATCTCCAGCACATAATGTTAGCACCCAGGAAGCGTTTGTTGGTTGAAAGAAGAGGAAGGAGAGGTAAAACAAGAGGCAAGGTGCCGTGAGGGACACACAGGGCGAAGCCGAAGTCTCTGCCCTCAGATGGAAAGCCTGTAGCCAGGGAGACAAGTTGCAGACTGCTGTCTTTGACTTCCTAGAAGGAAGGGGTAGGACATGTTGGGGGAGGGCGCTTAAATTTTTTTTTTATTTTAATTTTCTTATTGGGAGATTTATCACACACATGGTTATGCATAAAAGCCATATATACAGTTTGGGGAATTATAAAACAAACACTGTGTAATCACCACACAGGCCCAGGAAGTAGGAAAGAATGGCAGAGGCTCCCTGGGTCTCCCCAGTCACCTCCTCCGTCCTCTCTCCAAGCCGGAGCCACTCCTGACTTTCATAATCATCTTCTTGCTTCTCTTAATGGTTTTACCACTTATGTATGGATCCCGAACCTACACGATGTAGCTTTGCGTGTTCTTGGATTTTACAGAACTTGAATTGCACTGCACGCATATTCTTTCAAGACCCGCTTCTTTCCCTCACCACAACTTTGGGAGAGTCATCCCTGTTGTTCAACATAGTAGCTGTAGTGTTTCTTCCAGCACTATTCTAGTCCAGCCTGTGACTATGCCACAATTTATTTATCCATCTACTGCTCATGGACTAGTGTGATTTTTCCAGCTTGGGGCTATTACAAACGACACTTCTAGAAACACTGTTGTACCTATTTTCTGGGATATTTAAATGTGGTTTTTTAGTTTTGGTGTTTTGTTTTTGAGAACTTATTCTATCTCTGGAATCTGTGAAGTCTCTAGTGTTGTGAAATCGAAACTAGTTTGTGCAAAGAAGGTAGACAAGATTGGAAGAAATCAGTGTGGTCCAAGATAACCCACAGGGAAATCTGGAGAATTTGTTAAATATGCAGATTAGACGGCCCAGCCCAACCGCAGAAATGAGGCCCTGTGGAGATGAAGGTTGAGAGTTGCACCTCAGCAGGCTCGCTGCCCGCCCCTCCCGCGGGTCCTGTGGGTCACCAGGTCTCCTCTTCCTGTGCCTGGGACATACCTCGGTGATTGGTACGATGCTGGGTCACTTTTTTTTTAATGTTTATTTTTGAGAGTGACAGACTGTGAGGCGGGGAGGGGCAGAGAGAGAGGGAGACACAGAATCTGAAGCAGGCTGCAGGCTCTTGAGTGCGAGCACAGAGCCCAATACAGGGCTCCAACTCACGAACTGTGAGATCCTGACCTGAGCGGAAGTCAGACGCTTAACTGACGGAACCACCCAGGCATCCCCAACGTTGGGACATTTTGAGAGAGGAAGGGGTAGTTGTGCCTTAACACCCAGGAAGTCCGCTCCCTGCCGCTTCTTCTGCTGTTGGCTCCTCGCAGTGGTGTGCCAGCAACGTCTGAGGGGAGTCTGCACTTAGCACACCCGCAAGTGGAGGTCCCAGCTTTCTTCTTCTCTACACGCCAGCCCCCCCACCTCGCCCATGACCCAAAGCCCTATGCCCATCCTGTCCAAATGCTCTAGAACACGGAAGCCTTTTAACTAATTCTAGTGTTTCCATGAGCCTTAACAATACTTTACCTCAACAAAGCACCTACGTTTCGTTGTTTTAAACCAATTTTTAGTTTTAAATTCACAGCAAAAAGTATAAAGTACAGAATTCTCATGTAGCCCTGTCCCCAGACACACACACGACCTCCCCTACTAGCCACATCCCACACAATGGTAGGTTCATCGATGAAATCTACATCAATACATCATTCTCAACATTAGTCTGGTTTATATTAGGGTTCACTCCTGGTGTTCACACCCTTGGATTTTGACAAATGTTTATTGACATGTATCCACCATTCACTACTGTAACAGTCCTCTTTGTCCCACCTAGTCATTCCTCTCTGGCCACAACCCAATCTTTTTACTGTCTCCATAGTTTTGCCTTTTTGAGAATGTCGTATGGTATGGAGTCTTTCCAGATTGGCTTCTTTTAACCTCATAATAGGAATTGAAGTTTCCTCCAAGTCTGTTCATGGCTTAGTAATTCATTTCTTGTGAGCACTGAATAACATTCCACTGTCTGGATACCACAGTTTTTCCACTCACCTAATGAAATCTTAGTTGCTTCCAAGTTTTAACAATTATCAACAGAGCTCCTATAAACAATCCATGTGCAAGTTTTTGTGTGGACGTTAAGTAAGTTTTCAGCTCCTTTGGGTAAATACCAAGAAGCGCAATTCCTGGATTATACGGTAAGAATGTTTAATTTTGTAAGAAATTGCCAAACCGCCTTCCAAAGTGGCTGTACCATTTTGCATTCCCGTCAACAAAGAATGAGTACTGTACCGCATCTTTACCGGCATTTGCTGATGCATTTTGGATTTTGTCCATTCTAATAGGTGTGCAGTGGTATCTCCTTGATGTTTTAATTTAGATAAACCTAGTTTTTTTGTTGTTTTTCTTTTTAACAACCACTCACTTTTTTCTCTGTGGTTTGGGTGCCTAGAGCAGGCAATTCTTTTATTATTAAAAATGGTCTTATTTAACAAAGATTTTTTAAGACTTTCTTTTTCCCTTTAAATATAGGTAAATGCAGAGGGGACACCGGAGGAAGTTTTTCTTCAACTCTGCACAGCTATTGACTCTATTTTCTGAAGGCAAAAAAAAGCATGCACATCAAGGAGAGTGGAGACAGAAAAAAATATTAAAAGGCTCATCCCTTAACACAATATTGTTTAAAGTTAAACCGTTTGTGTCCCCCATCCCCACCCCACCCCAGATCCTGACATTGCTGTTTGCTTCTGAGCTTGACCTTTCCGAGAGGTGTCTGGAAATCATGCATGGTGTATTTGGTATTATCTAACCTCTTCTTCCTAATTCAGACAGCCGTCCGCACCCCCAGCACGCACACTCTTCCGTCACATCAGCTGTGCCTCAGAGCTGCTAGCTAGTACGTGAACAGAGCGTGGTGTTCAGTTGTGCCCTCAGGACCTGCTAGTCTGACCATTTCTCTGTCATCAAACAGGGGGTTAGTGCCCCCCTAATGCCCCATCACATTTTCCTTCCTCACCCCAAGATTTACATGCTGTTGCCTGATAAAGGGCCTTACCATGGGGCGGGGAGGCACCTGGGTACCTCCTCTAGTGGCTGTTTCCTCAAGTCTCATCCACTAGTAGCTCAGAGCCAGAGAGACTGGTCTGATAGCTCCAAGTGGTGATAAGAAATATGATTAAATTTGAAAATTTGATAAGTAAAACAATGTGAAATTGTATAGCTTTTCCAAGGCTGTAAAACCCAGACTAGTCACCAATAACATTTCTGCATTCATTTTTAGGAAACTGGCTACTACTTGGAATACTGTCATATGACAAAGAAAACAAATTGAATAAATTGTCTAACCTAATCTCTTTTACACCTGGTGGTGCATTTCAGCAATTATACATTAATACCAATGACCAAACATAACGTAAAGCATGAGGTGATTTGTTACTGCGTTCACTGGAATAATGTCAACTTATAGTTTTGATTTTATAAGATCGTGTATTTATTACTGCCAAACAAGAAAGTAACAGTAACAATACTGATGTGGGTGGGAGAGGCATGTCAGTACATGATGTTTAACAGATCCCAGTGCTGTATTTGTTTCATACGGGCCTTTTCCAGGGCTGTGCAAACCTTATCATATCCATATGTAAAACTGTGCTTTACCCTGCTTCAAACCAGTGAGGTTTGGGTTCTCTTTTGTGTTATCAGTTGCCAAATCAGAGCTTCTTATATATTCTCCTGGAATAACTGCATCTTCCATTCAGTCACTACAAATGACCATAGTTTCAGTTTGCATGCTGTTCTTTTCCCTTCAATGGTCGTGCTGATAAGGATCCAATTCTGGGACAGAATTGTATTTTTAAAGTCATTTTTTTTTTCTTGAAATGGATATATGTACAAATAAAATAAATGGAACACAGCATAGCTCTTTTTCTATTTATTTGTAACTCACATCATTCTGGAAAGCACTTGAAGCCTTATTCCAAACAGAATTAGAAGCAAACACAGTTAATAGTTGAGATTTATGATATGCTCATATGGTTTTAATTTTGGCCGTAGATCAGTTCTGAGCTATTACATAGAGAATTCTCAGTGTACTCATGATACATGGTAATTTTTATGTTTCCTTTTGCCCTAGCAATCATTCTTAAACAGAAATGTAGTGTTTGCTAAAGAAGAAATTAAATTTCTTTGGTTACAATTATGCCTGTATTACCAAAAAGGGGCATGTTCCTTCAACTCACACAGTTATCAAGTACTTTATTACCACCCCAGTTGTCTCACTCTCTGTACGGGAGCACAAGGAGCATTTGAGCAAATCAGAATCAGAGGGTGAAAATGATCAGTTATGCCAAAAACACAGAATGACTCTTTGTAGGAATTAACATTCTTTAAACACATACCACATATTGGCAAACACAGTTCATGCCTACCACAGCTCGGACAGCTTGAGTACGGGATAGGAGACAACAGATGCCGTGACCTTTATGGCTGTAGCTGGCTGTCCTCTTGAAAAAAAAAAAGGAATCGGCAGAGGTAAATAAATGGCTTTGCCCCTGAAGAGGATCTGGAGATGCAACAGACTGCTAAAACGTGTTACGGACGTGGATGGCTTGAAATGACATCACTACTTTAAAGTCACAGGATTTTAGAGCAGGAAAGGATCTTAGAGGTCTCTGCCCAGCAGAAGCCCTTGTGTGTATGTGAAAGACATCAGAACACAATCCAAACTCCTTTACAATGGTCTACATTCAAGGCCTCACCTGCTCTGCCTCTGTACCCTGTATCACCCCATCAACTACATTCTCCTCTTGCTCGTTTGGCTCAAGCTACACGGGCCCTCTTAATGTTGCCTGAACAAGCCAAGATCTCTGCTGGATCAGACCCTCGTTGTTGCTGTCCCGCCTCTTCCTCCAGGTTATCCACAGGCCGATTCCCTCACTCCGTCCAGGTCTCATCGAGCATTCTTTGATTACTCCATCTAAAATGACAGGCTGGTCCTCATTCTTCCACCATTTTTCTTCAAACATTATTTTCTTCACAACATTTATCTCTGCCTAACTTTATGTAGTATTTTATATTTATGTGTTTACTGGTGCTCTTCTGCATTAGACCATAAGGCTCTAGAAGGGCAAAGCTTTATACCCTCCATCCCACACCCAATTATTAAAAGCTAACACTTATATCCTCTGAAACTTGGTTATTTCATCTGTACAGTGGACATAATAGTAAGCAACCTCACAGAGGGGTTGCAAGTATTCAACAAGTTAGTAATACATGTAAATCATTTACTAGTTCCTAGAGTTCAATAAAAGGTGGTTCTTTGTCAATATTTGTTGAGTGCCTCACTTTCACAATTGGGACTGGGACCCAGAATTTCCACTCCAGTGCCCTTTCACTCTAAAAACATGGCAGAGAATCAAGGTTTACGGCCTAACTGGGAACCCAGAGGAAACCATAATCTTCTCAGCCACCCAGGCTTGAACATCCTCCAGATAAGATAGGACGCAATTCTTCAATACTCTCAGAGCCCTATAAAGATCTCCGAGGCAGGCCCCCAAAGGGCCCCACGTAGGCACTCACAGACACACTCAGACATATGTGGTCTCTCCTACCTTTCTGGAGAAAAAATATAACTCATCAAAACACTGATTATACTAGTACTAAATATTTATTAAAAATCTAAGAGCCAGGCAGGCCACAGGGACACAGATAGGGATGGTCTTTGTCCTTATGGAGCTAAATGGGATACCACTGCTCAAAAATTCATTTAACTGGCTACACGAAAAAAAAAGTTAAAAAAAAAAAAAAAGGTATTTTTTTTCTGGGATTCTATCAACAGGAGGTTATTTTCATAAGGTTAAAAAATAAAAATACTTTACAACCTAAAAGGTCAATGCCTCTATAATCTCTGTGGAGGAAAAAACTACTTGTTATCTGGAAAAAAAACAAAACAAAACAAGTACTTCCAATTCCATCCAGTGCAACTAGAACAATGGCTTTCAAAATCTGTTACCTACATTAAGAAATACAGTTTATATAGCATGCCATAGTAATAACTAAAAAAAGACTTTCACAAAACAGTATTTATCCTTACTACCTGTGATATGCTATTTTCTTGAAAAAAAAAATGTTCTTCATATCTCAGTACACTGTTGTCTTCTGTACTGTAATTTAAACACAAGGGAAAAGGGAAGGAAACTGGGTAAGGCATACTATTAGGTTAAGTGAGAGGCACCAAGCATGCATGGAAACAAATTCTGTCTCAGGCAGGAGACTTTGCCTAAAACCTCAAGATCACATGTTTGCTGTCAAATTAGAATATGTAAATTATACGTCTGGGTGGTTTTCTAGAACTCAGTGCTGTCTTCCCATCCAAGGATCTGCTTCCTATTCTGTACCATGAACCTGGACCTGTCCTCAGGTCTGTGGCTCTAGGAACCATGCCACACCAGGAAAAAAGAGTGAAAAGCAACCCCTACACACTTCCATCTCCAAACCTTAGTGATGCCTGACACAAAGGGAATGTTCTTGCTCCATAAATTGGGTAGTGACTCTGCAGCAATCTGTCTAGGTTAAAATCTAAGCAGGACCACTCTGCTAACCATATGACCTTGGGCAAGTTATTTAACCTCTCTGGCTAGATCTCCTCATATGAAAACAGGTTAACAAATGCACCTTTCTCCTAAGGTTGCGAGAATTAAATCTGCTACTGTATGCTGGCTTGGTTCATAGTAAGCACTTACTCGGTTTTGTGCTTGTTATTAGTGCACACCACACCGATCAAAGCCTCCTCTGCTTAAACCTTAAAGCAGTGGTTTTAGGTGTCACTAAAAGTTCCTTCAGTTCTTATCAAACAACTTGAACATAATATTTCAGGAAATACATCTGACCTACATCTGACCTACCACTTAATATGCAAGGCTTTCACAAGTAGGTCTATGTTGTCTCTTAAGGCCAATACTTCTCTGTAGGAGATCGAAGGACTACTTGTAAAAGACAGCCCTGCCTATTCCTGCAGTCCGCCAATTAAAACACCACCACCATATTACTACTCGTGCTACTACTACCACTGCTACTATTACCATATAGGGCCTTTTTAAGCCAGGAGGACTACTTGCCTGAAGGTGAAAAATGCAAAATTAACACATCTTCACTCAAGCAGAAAATAATCCTCTTTGCCACTCAAAGTTCTCAAAATCTTTGCTCTTGAAAAATACAGTTAAGTGGATTTATTTTGTGTATTGTTTACATCAGAATTGTATCACACACAGCCCTCTTCCAAAGCATACTTTATGGGATTTTTGAATAAACCTGAATGGTCCTCCCCCAATAATCAGTATTATTTCTATACAAACACAGAAGTTACTACCAAGTGCTGCTGTCTTGCTGCAAGAAGGCAGATTTCCTAGCATATATCAGTTAACATTTAATATCAAAATGCCCAAATGTTAACAACTCCTTCTTCTTCCCCCCAACTACTGATTCCAGGGTAAGAAGTAAAGCTCAAGTCCATTTCCTGTTCTTCCTGATGCAATATATTTTATCAACATCAGTAATCTTTAGTCAATATATTACTTTAAAATTCTCATATTTCTATACTTAAAATAACATTACTTTTCTCAGTTAAAAAAATTCAAGGTATGATTTTAGTACCCTACAACATATTGAAGGAGTATTAAATAACGTTCCCTTGACTTAAAATTGGAAAAAACGGGACTTAGTCCAAAAACTAGGTGAGTATAATACTTAATCTTAGAATACTTATGTGATCTCTTCCAATAGTCAATAATAATTGCCAGTGAATAGAGTGATTTTCAAAAACCATCTGTTTAAATTAAACACGTGAAGAGGCTTACTTTCATCTAAAAAAATTAAGAGTAAAATTTTTCAGCCCGAGTATAGTTTTCACATCTGGACATTAATAATAGCCTTTTTAACCATGGTGTGTGTTCTTTTTGTAAGCTAGTTTAAATAGTGTCTCAGCACACACTGAGTGAAAAGATTACCATCTTCTCTCAGAGCTTCTCAAGTTCATTTCCATAATACTATATAGTCCTTACTCTTTTTCAAGGACAGAAAGGTAAAGCAACCCCCTAAAAAAATTTTTTTTTTGTTTTAACACTAGTAAAACAAATCCAAAATCTAACCAAAAAGGAAGTCACAACAAGCATTCTATAATATAAACAGACAGTATCCACATAGTTTATTTCTCACAGTTCTCCTGACAAATGAACATTATTCAAGAACATACTGTATACACAGATAAGAAGAAACATACAAAATGTTTTAAATGATGCACAACAAAATCCAGCAGTATAAAAGAATGCATGTGAACTCTTGCTCACTGCGCAGACTAAATTTAATCACTTGTTTAAATAGTAATAAAAATACAATCTTTTATGGATCTTGTGCAGACTACAAAAGAGGGAAATTATTACCATATATATGATTTTTATATTAGGCAGTTTTCTTTGATGAGTTGCACTGACAACTCCAAATACAGAGGCAGAAGGCTGTGTATTTTAAAGGAATTAATGTTGTGAATTAGAGACTTTACACAGTTACTACCACTGGCACTTTTCACCATAGTTTGTACACATCACATGATCATCTTATATAACATTACATTTAAAAAATATATCTGAGCGACAATTTTATAACATTCACACACCATGAGCTGGTCAAGGAAGCAATGCCACAGTGCCTCCTGTAGTGCTTCGCTGTTGGTAATAAGGACAGTTCATTGTGGTTAAAAGAAATTAGACATCAATATGGTTAAGCAGCTCCGATTTACTAAAGGCCATCAGTGGCCACCACTGGGACAGTGAGTTCTTTTAAAGTGTTTATCCTAGAAGCAAACACCATCATTGGTTAAAACTTTGTCTAAGAAGTCAGCTTCTGTGCCGAAAACTATTTTCACAAAACTGAAAGCTACTAAACTGTTTTAATATAAATACTTTGTCTTCTCATTATCCTATTTATGACCGAGTTCTTTGAAACCTTTGGAATTTACTCTCTTTAATGTGTGCTCTCGTTTCCATCTCACCCATTTAATATCACCACCTAAAAGGCTTTAAGGTGGTGGTGAGAAATTCACCAGGGAAACCCTTTGCTCACCAGGAATGCTCGGCTGCTGAACAGTGATCTAGAGCCACAACGGTGCAGAGCTGGACTTGACAAGAACACTCAGGAAGCTGTCATGCTGTGAGTGTCATTTCAGGGAAAGCAGAGAATCTTTCCAAACTGTGCACATAATTCACAATGATACCATTGCTATGTGTTGAAGAGGACTAGTATACGATGTTCTCTTCCATGTCATCTGTTTGCTGGAAAGTAGTTTGGGTCAAGGTAATTATAACTGGTGCCCTGGGACACACAGTAGTCTCTGTCTAAGAATGTCTCTGACCTATAAACAGGTTCTAATTGGTGATCTTCCTTGTGAATATCTGTTTCATGTAGGCTGCAAAGAAAACACACACACACAAACACACACACACAGACACATCAATACACGGCACTGGATGCATTTTGGAGTAGGTATTATAAAACTTCCTCACAGTTCCACTTCTTTAATCCACCAAAATCTCTAACGGAAATTTACTTGAGATGTGGTATAATTAAAGAAAATTTCTTAATTGCCTACAACAACAAAGCTTAACCCACTAAATGTAGTCATTTTCTAAGTAGTTTGGAAATCAAATTCACTAGTGGCTGAAAAGCTCTTTACTTGTCAAAACTGAAGACCTAATATGAAGTAAACACTTACCAGTCTGAACAAGAATCACAGAAATCCAAAGACATTTCTGGAGGACAATCCTGGCAGTGCCACCGAACACCCTGGATAGGTTCTATGCCACAGTTATCGCACTAGAAAAGTTTCAGAGAGAAAAATATTAAGCTACATTTTTCCAAAACCTTTTTTTCCTGCTGGGAAACAAAGGATGTGCACAAAAACATCTCTCTCCCCAAGGAACTAGACAGTAATATAACACGAAAATGGTTGTATATTAGATATAATTTCTAGCAAACTAGCACAAATTTCATTCATTCAAGATGAATGTGCAGGTGAGTGACAGGTACATTATAATAACCAAGGGATGACCTTCAATATGCTCCACTTTACTTTAAAAAAAATTTTTTTTAATTTTAATTCCAGTAAAGTACAGTGTTCTATTAGTTTCAGGTGTACAATATAGTGATTCAACAATTCTATACATTACTTACTCAATGCTCATCATGGTAAGTGTTACTTACTACTTTAATTGACTTTTTAACATTTTAAGTAGGGGGTGCCTAGGTGGCTCAGCCAATTAAGCGTCTGACTCTTGATTTCAGCTCAGGTAGGGATCTCACGGTTCGTGGGATGGAGCCCTGCATCAGGCTCTGAGCTGACAGCATGGAGTCTACTTAAGATCCTCTCTCGGGATGCCTAGGTGACTCAGTCGGTTGAGCGACCGACTTTGGCTCAGGTCATGATCTCAAGGTTTGTGAGTTCGAGCCCCATCTCAGGCTCTGTGCTGACAACTCAGAGCCTGGAGCCTGCTTCAGATTCTGTGTCTCCCTCTCTCTCTGCCCCTCCCCCACTTGTGCTCTGTCTCTGTCTCAGAAACATTTAAAAAAAAAAAAAAGATTCTCTCTCCCTCTCTGCCCCTCCCCCATTTATGCTTGCTTGTTGCTCCAAAATAAACTCCTTTTAAAAAGTAAATAAAATTTCAAGTAAACCATTTGCAAATTTAGACATTTGAGTGTTCATAACTATTTATTTTTTAAGTTTATTTATTTATTTTGAGAGAGACAGAGAGAGAGAGACAGCGTGAGGAAGAGGCAGAGAGAGAAACCCAGCCTGGTATCCTGCTCTCAGGAGGGCCCAAAGGGGGCTCAATCCCACGAACAGTGAGATCATGACCTGGGCCAAAGTCAAGTATTGGATGCTTAACTGAGCCACTCAGGTGCCCCAATAACTATTTAAAGGTACCTCAGACCAATGTATAATGACCGTGATTGAGAACCACTGACTTAATACCATAGTTAAAACTGTATAATTACAGAACTACTTAACAAGCTATCATTACCAAACCCAAGAGAACCCAAAATCCTCTCTAAACTTTTATCTTACTGAATTATTCTTCAAAGCCTGAAGAAGCCTAATTACTAATGCCCATAACAAAGAAAAGGCAGATCTACCTCCTTCTTAGTGTGGTGGCATTGTCGTAGCCCTCAGTGTCTTTGGGACAATTTTGGAAATAAATCTCATTTCTAGTTTCTTTGATCATCAGACCAACTAGAGTGACCGACAGGTTAGTAAACAAGCCACAGCTGGGTCTTAGGGCAAATTTTGAGAAGTGGAGAGTTTCCTCTTGAAAGGCCAGAGATACCAATTAGGAAAATTTCTAATGGAGAAGCAAGGTCATGGAAAGATCAAGAGGAAAAATCATTTAATATAGTATGGCTAATGGCCATACTAGAGAATGAGAGGTATAATTTTAAGTTTCTGTTTATCAGTCACAGCACGCATCAGTATTTTTATGTATACCACTACCAGCAAATCTATATCTCATGGTCTCAGTTTTACTTCCTCCAATCTCACCAAGTACAGCCAATTCTAAAGTCCAAAGGTTCTCAAACTTGTCAATCTCTCTCAATTTCCATAGCCACCAATCAAACCTCAGACATTCTCATCTTTGGTCTAAATTACCAAAAGAATTTCTAACCAGTCACCCTGCCTCTAGCTTTGCTTTCTTCTTTCCATTCTCCATACTAAGTCCAGAATTATCTTTTTCTCCTTCACCTATTTTTTTTCAACTACATAAATAACATACATGAATACATTACTGTTTACAAAATTTAACAATACAGCTGTCAGAGATTATCCACTCTAAACCCACTGCCTTCTCCAAGGTTATCTATACTAATAGTGTAAGTAACTGGAATGATTTTTCTGAAATGCAAATTTCATGTTACTGTCTACTTAAGATTCTTCAATGGTTCCCCAACCTCATTAAGGAAAGTTTAAACTCCTCAGTAAATCTCAAAGGCACCTTAATAGCAGCACTACTACTCTCTGATATGTTCTCTAGCCATAGTCAACTATGTTTACTAATTTAATTTCTCTAAATTCCTTATGAGACGAAAACAGAATAAGGACAGAAACCGAGTCCATCTTGTTTACTAATGAATCCCTAGCAGTTAAGCAAAGTGCCTGGAACATAATGGGTATTTCAAAATTTTGTGGACTGAATGGATATATTTCTAGTAGCCTGAACGGCGAAAAGAAATTTCTCATCTATGAACAAGAGCAACAGCTCCAATGGATGAAAGGATAAAGAAAATGTGAAACACACACACACACACACACACACACACACACACACACACACACAGGAATATTATTCAGCCCTAAAACAAAAAGAAATCCTCCATTTGTGATAACATGGATGAGAAAGTGGAGGACATTATCCTAAGTAAAATAAGCCACAGAAGTTAACAAGTGCCATATAATCTCACTTATGAATGAAATGAAAAACTCAAACTCAGAAGCAGAGGGTAGAACAGTGGTTGCCAGGGGCTGCGAGGTGGGAGAAATGAGGAGATGTTAGTCTAAGGATACAAATTTTCAATTGTAAGAGAAATCAGTTCTGGAGGTCTAATGGACAGCATGGGATTAATAATATGGTACTGTATACTTGAAATTTGCTAAGAGAGTACACTTTTCTCACCACACACACACACACACACACACACACACACACACACAGACACGAAAAAGGTAACTATGTGAGGTGATGTTTTTACACCTTAATATTTTGTACACTTTAAATATATACAATTTTTGTCAGTTATATCTCAGTAAAACTGAGAATAAGAAAGAAAAATAGCTAGACAAAAACACCTCATATTTTACCTCAAAATATAGATACCTGTATGTTTGTCTTCTTCCCATAGAATCATAAACCTACTGAGATCAGAAACTGTAGCACACTACTTTATATAAATGAATAAGACTAGAGCTAAACTTACTTTTATCTGTATGCTGGGAAGTCTGGAATTTAAAGCTGCAGAAACTACTTTAAATCTCTCTTATCACCCTTCCAAAAATTAAATGAATAGTAGAATTTACCTTGAAGCCCACATGTTGTACAAATCCACTTTCAGCTTGCATCTGCTGGAGTTTCTGCTTCTTTAACTTTTTAAACTGTAATAGTTCCTTATATTCAGGTAAATTCCTATACATAATAGGAATACTTTCTTCATCCTAATAATAAAACAGGAAACAAAAATGTCTGATAATCAAAATGAACTAACAGGGGGTGCCTGGGTGGCTCAGTTGGTTGAGTATCCGACTTCAGCTTGGGTCATGATCTCGTAATTTGTGGGTTGGCCCCCATGTCGGGCTCTGTGCTGACAGCTCAGAGCCTGGAGCCTGCTTTGGATTCTGTGTCTCCCTCTCTCTCTGCCCCTCCCCTGCTCACGCTCTCTCTCTCTCCCAGAAACAAATAAACATGAAAAAATCATTTAAAAAAAAAAACAGTAAGAAATACTGACACAGAATATTTTTCTACTAATAAAATATTTTTCACTTTTAAGATACTTTACCTTATAGGGCTGACAGAAAATTAGCGTTGCTATTAGCAATATTTTAGACTAACACTTTTGGAGGGCTTCTTAATGCAACAGTAATATTGAACTGTACAAAGTACCAGGGGATGATTCCTACCTCTGTCATACACTAATGCAGACTCAACCCTATCCCAACACATTCATGGCTCCTTGTGATACTCTTTATAATCTACTTCTACCTCATCTGCACGAAGCTCCTCTTCTCTAGAACATTTTTTATGCTTTCTCAAGTAAATATCACATTTTCTTAACAAAGAGCAAACCACTTTCTGCTCTGTATACTCCCAATAATCAAGGCAGGACATTCCTGTCTTACCCAAGGGGATAAACTAAATTACGAAGATGATCATTTAGAAGACTATAAAAAATGAATACTACAACTATAGAAATACATGAAGCTGAAGTTGACAGATGAATCACTAACTGCTTCCTACCTATTCTCCCAATTTATTTGTGCTCTGCCATCAATGATCCATTTCTTTCCTTCATGACCTCATGATCCCATGGTCACTAATATCTACAATGCTCCTGAAAGCATCTCCAATTCACTGACCCCATCCATAGTCTATCAATCCTGGTCCAGATAACTCCTACCCCTCCCATTCCTCTTGCTCTCATATTAGGTATTATTAACTACAATGTTTATTTTATGTCAAGGAAACCGGTGTCTATAAAAATAACATTTACCCAAGGTCACATAATTAATCAATTATGGAGTCAGGTGATTTGAACCCAGATTTGTCTGAATATTTAGTAACTCCTTATACACTCAGCAGCCTAAGGCCTAAATCTAAGAGCTACCCTTAATTTTTCACTGTCATATTTAATCCAACAAAATTGGTCACTACTTAACACTTTCTTAAATTTTTCAAATTGGTCCTCTATAGTATCACTCCTTCCTCCAGCTCCACCATGATTTAAAATCTCCAAATGACTTCCTAACTGTCTACAGAGTCAAGTCCAAAGTCTTCAGCTGAATAAAAGATTGTTTATAATCTCATGCTTCACTTACCTTATCTCCCACCATCTTTCACTCATTTCAAGTTCCTGTCAACTAAAGTGTTAAATTACAGCTACTGTCTTTCTATATCAGCACTGAAAATGACATTAAGTAATGTAATAAATATCTAACACTAATAAATACAATGTGACTTAACTAGTTAAATAATGTGATAAGGAATTTTATAGTGAAATTTATTAAATTCAGATATTTTAAGCAAATACAAAGAGTAGAAACTATGCCAAATTTTTTAATTTGCATTTTAAATCTAAGGATACTATTAAATTTGGCCAACAAGACTAAGTAAAGTTAAATCACCACACAACTAGGATGGCTACTATCAAAACAAAACAAAACAAAACAAAACAGAAAATAACAAGTGTTGACAAGGATATAGAGAAACTGAAACCCTAGTGCACTGTTGGGTAGTATGTAACATGTTGCAGCCACTATAGAAAATAGTATGGCGGTTCCTCAAAAAAGTAAATGTAGAATTAACATATGGATCTAGCAATTCCATTTCTGGGTCTACACCCAAAAGAACTGAATGCAGGGACTCGAACAGGAATTTGTACATCTATGTTCACAGCAACATTATTCACAATAGCCACAAAGTGAAAGCAAACCAAGTGTCCAATGACAGATGAATAGATAAAATGTGGTATACACATACCATGAAATATTTATTATTCAGCCTTAAAAAGGAAGGAAAGAGTGGCACATGTTACAAGGTAGATGAATCTTGAATACATTATGGCAAGTGATGAAAGGCAGTCACAAAAGGACAGAACCTGCAGGATTCCACTTAAATGAGGCACCCAGAGTAGCCAAATTCATAGAGACAAAGTAGGAGGGAGTTGCCAGGGGCTGGAAGGAGAAGGCAATGGGAGATACTGTTTAACGGTTCTGAGTGTCAGTTTTCTAATAAGTAAAGAGTTCTGGAGATTGGGTCACAAAAATATGAACATATGTATTTATCACAATTAAAAAATTTTTTTAAATCCTCATAAACAGGGGCGCCTGGGTGGCGCAGTCGGTTAGGCGTCCGACTTCAGCCAGGTCACGATCTCACGGTCCGTGAGTTCGAGCCCCGCGTCGGGCTCTGGGCTGATGGCTCAGAGCCTGGAGCCTGTTTCCGATTCTGTGTCTCCCTCTCTCTCTGCCCCTCCCCCGTTCATGCTCTGTCTCTCTCTGTCCCAAAAATAAATAAACGTTGGAAAAAAAAATTTTTTTTAAATAAATAAATAAATAAATCCTCATAAACAGATTTCCTTGTTAAAATCATTTTTAAACTTTACTTAAAGAGGAGATCCTATGATTAATTCCAAATGAGGCTAAAATGGTGTACAGATTTTAAAACTACGGAAGTACATACATGTAATCATATGGTTTCTTTAGATATTGATTTCCTAAAAAAAGAACTTGAAATCTATAAATTTTACCACTAGTAGTTTTATAAATATCTGAACAGCTATTTCAAAATTCACAATGATTTGAACTGGTGCTCATTTAAAAATAAATAAATAAAATCAACCAAACAAAAGTTAAATCAAATTCAATCTATTACATATATTAATCTACTCCTCATCTGGCTAAATTTTGTTCCTCCTTCACATGTCACCTTGACTACCACTTCTTTAGAGTTCTTCTACTTAAACTCCAAACTCTAAATAAAGTACTTCTTAAATAATTATAATCAGTTGTTTTTGAAGCACTTTTTAAAATCTGTAATTTATTGATGTGATTACACATTTATCTCCTCCCACAAGACTAAGATTTGTAAGAGCAAAGATCATAAATATTTTGTGCACAACGATGCAGCTGACCTCTAGCAGGGCCTGATATATAAAATGTAGAATCAATATTTTTCAAATGAATAATTCTAATATTAACAAAGTACAAATTTAAGACACAGCAGATATTAGCTATTTTAAAAAGAAAAATTTGTGAAGAATACAATCACTTTATGGTAGTTTCATACCAAATTATACACTCGGTATTTGGCTAATCTAAAAACAGAACAAAAAAAGAGACTTACTTTTACTTGCTGACCTTTCATTAAAATCTCCTTTGCCAATTATTATAAATAATCAGAGTATTAAGAAAGATATAAGATAATCCTTTAAGCAAAGAGCCAGAATCATGTTAGTTACTGAGGAAATGAATTTCAGGATGTAAAATAAAAATATTAACAGCAATAAAAAGAAATGTCTATGGATGGAAAGGAAAATAAAATAAATTGATCTAAATTAGTGTGCAGTCAATAACACCAAGAGGAATTACTTGAAGAGGATTTGACTTTAGTTCTGCAGTGGCATATATCCCAAGGCAAAAAAAAAAGAAAAGAAGAAAGAACTGTCAAAAAAATCTGTTTCCAGTAATCATACTGCTGATGGTAAGGTTAGTATTATTATATTCTGAGACTACTGTGAGCACTATGAGACAAAGAAAGTGAGTATTATGTCAATGTCACTGATATCTAGGATTCTCAGCATGGGAGACAGAAGATACATATTTAAGATCAATAAGGAGAAGTAAAATCCCCAAAGTCCTTAAATTGAATCTGAAATTAAAAAATATAAACTTACGATGTCTTTTTTTTTAATGTTTATTTTTGAGAGAGATAGAGCACAAGCAGGGGATAGATGGGGGTCAGGGGGACACAGTATCAGCAGTGCTCAGTGCTAACAGCAGAGAGCCTGATGTGGAGGCTAGAACTCACAAACTGTGAGACCATGACCTGAGCCAAAGTCAGACACTTAACCGACTGAGCCATCCAGGTGCCCCTGAGGTTTTTTATTTTTTTATTTTTCTTCAAAAGTTTGTTTTTATTTTGAGAGAGAAAGAGAGAGCACATGCGTGCAAGAGAGCACTAGTAGGGGAGGGGCAGAGAGAAGGAGAGACAGGCTTCACACTGCCAGTGTACAGCCCAATGTGGAGTTTGAACTCACGTACTGTGAGATCATGACCTGAGCCAAGATCAAGAGTCAGACGCTTAATCAACTTAGCCATCCTGGTGCCCCATTATTTTTAAACAATAATATAACCTATTTCTCAGCTCTATCCATTAAATAGACCTAAAAACAATGATCAAGCCAGCATCAAGTAGGATTCCTACAGTCAGGCTATCATCTCCACAATTTCCTAATAAAAGAAAGCAGGACTAATTCTAGGTCTGAAGAGGAAAAATACAAGACAATCCTAGAATTTCCTTGTCAGAACAGGTAATGAAGAAGCTATCAAAAACTACTAGAATCTTGTTCAAAGATCCCAAAATCCAACCTGAGTAAGTTACAACTGACCAATGGGCCAATCTGAACACTAATAAAGTCAATAATATCAATGTACTGAAACATAAGAAAATAAACGAAGAATCAAGCAGTTATACTGCCTCTTCCATATGTACCTTAGGGGGAAACAAATAGTTGATGGAGAGGGTTACTTTATAGAATATTCTATCAAATAAATAAAGAAGAATTGAGAGAATATCACTGTTTTGTAACATCTAATGAATTAATGAATCCAGGCAATGATCAATGGCTACTATGTCAAAAAAAAAAAACAGAAAAGACCACCAGACTGATGAAAGTACACATGAAGGAAGTCCTGCCCACCCTAACAAATCTGAATCTGGTCAATTATCTAGATCTACCATTGATTTACAGAAAATGCAGGTAGCAGAAAAACAGAGTAAGTGATAACAATTATCTAGACCCACTATCAATTTACAGAAAATTCAGGGAGCAGAAAAACAGAGGAAGTAACACCAGAGAGAAGCAAACAAAACACACACAGTGGTAAATTCTAATGACCCAGTTTTTCAGCAAAAAAGTTCTATGAAGAGGAAAAAGGGGGTGGGAATGAAGGAAAGGAAGAAATCTATTGTAATTTATGATTGGGGGAAATGTGAACTGAGTGTATATTTGTGTAAAGGATTACCTTTTTATAAACATGATAATAATACTCTGTAATGTCTGGGACTTGCCCCAAAATAATCCAGGATGGAGCTGAGGTGGGTAAAAAGTATAAATCAAAATAAGATCACAACAAACTGATAACTATTGAAGCTGGGTAATAAGTACATGTAGGTTCATTATACTACTCTATTTTTATATGTGTTTTAGAAATTTCTTTTATTAATATACTACATATGTTATATAGAATTCATTATACTACTCTATTTTGCACGTTAAAATTTCTTTTATTTTTATTATGTGTTAATATATATGATATATATTAATATATAATGATTTAACAATATATTGTTTTTTTAAAAGCCCATAAACTTCACTTGTTAATTAAAAGAAACCAACATTCTCTGAAGGATAGGAATAATTTAAAAATTCTGGTGTTCTCATTCTGTAACCTGATCTGTATGATACCTAAATACACAGGTATATATATTTTTATATAAGTAGATAACTTACTGATGCCTCTTCAATAGCAGTGTTCATGTGGCTATGAAAACAGGATCGGTCATCATCTTCATCCATATACACTGGTGGTTCATGGGAAGTCATGAAAGTGGAAGGTTTAAAGAGATGCTTATTAAGGGGGTGCTGTCGTCTGCTTGTGGAAGACTAAGCGAGAAAACAAATTTTTAATTTGGACATTGGAAAATCATTAAAAGAATCAAAGATACTAAAATACACTATTACTTCCTCCATGTCTATCTATTAAAAGGATCCTGGCTCTACCTTTCAGTACATGCTTATGTGGTTGTTTTTTCTATATTATCTAGATTTTTAAAGCACAACCAGATTTACAAAAAAAATGTAGGGGCGGGGGAGATACTCCAAAAACAGTATAATGGCTCACATGCTATCTAGCTTATATTTGTATCTCCAACATTGACCATACTCTTGACATTCAAATGCTGAACTCCTCTTACAGTCATTGTATAGAAGATCCAAGAGGATGAAGTAGCCTAAGCCAGATATAACATGATCAAGTAAAAAAATTTTCCACAACATGATTAATGTCTAAAACTACTGGGGCGCCTGGGTGGCGCAGTCGGTTAAGCGTCCGACTTCAACCAGGTCACGATCTCACGGTCTGTGAGTTCGAGCCCCGTGTCAGGCTCTGGGCTGATGGCTCAGAGCCTGGAGCCTGTTTCCGATTCTGTGTCTCCCTCTCTCTCTGCCCCTCGCCCGTTCATGCTCTGTCTCTCTCTGTCCCAAAAATAAATAAACGTTGAAAAAAAAAAAATTTTTTTTAAAAAAAATAAAACTACTAACACTGATTGATTGCTTACTGTTTGTCAACGTCATTTAACCCTCACAACGTTACTATGAAGTAGTTATTATCACCTCTAATTTAAAGATGGAGGTTAAGGTTCTTGTTCAGGGTGTTACAACTAGACAGTGGTAACACCAAGATTACAAACTGGGCCTGTGTGGGTCCAAGGCCCTCACTCTCAAACCACTATGTAGACTTCCTCTCTTCATAAACAGTAGAGCCACAAAGAATAACCTCAGCTACAGGCAGAACCATCACTTCATCTGTTTCAAGATTCAAACTCCAACCGTGCCAAGGAATCATTGCGTCTATGGCTGGGCTAGATCTCTACAGTCAACAGTCAAAATGTTAATTAACTTAGAGTTCAGTGCATTCAGGAGGGAATACGTTCAGGTTTCTTTAGTATTCTTTTTGTTACCATTACTAGTCTTAACTGTGAAAATATAAGGTACCCAACACATCTAAAGTTAATTTGGAAATTAATCATAAAAATTAGAGCTATTAAACTGAAAACCGCTTATCAAGGTTCCAACATTCCAAAGGTATAGGATGAACTCTACATATGTGATATAAGTAATGCTATACGGGGGAGGTGTGGGAGAGGAGGGAATCCAAATTATTTAAATCAACTGAAAAGTTAAAATGAGCTTCCAAAACTTGGTAACAAGACAAAAAACAAAACTTGTAAAACATGGAGCTGTACAGACAATATTCTTAATGTAAAATTATGTAAAACAGCTTCAATAAGGAAACTAACAGCATTAGATATACTCTTAGCTTCTTATGTGAAGGAAGGCAGTAGTGGTAGAGGGCAAATAACAGGATGATTTACTAAGGAAATGAAAGAGGCCAATTATGTGCTTTATTTTTTGCAATTAAAGCAAAAAACCGTCTACAATTTGATGCAATGGTTTATGTAGGAGAGGAACGACAGCTTTTTTACTGTACAGAATAGAACAGAATAGTGGGAAAAGGGCTGGGATCAGAATCAGAGGATCAGTCGTTCTCAGACTTATTAGCTATATGACTAGACAACTGACTCAATTTACCTTAAGGCCTAGTTTTTTGTTTATTTTTACAATTGTATTTTTAAGTAATCTCTACACCCAACATGGGTCTCAAACTCACAACCCTGAGATCTAGAGTCACATGCTCTACCAATGGCATCGGCCAGGCACCCAAGGCCTAGTTTTCTCATGTATAAAAAGACTGTACAACAGCACCTGGTCCTCAGCTTCCAGTAAGAAGAGTAAAAACTAGCTATTAATATTATTATCAGTAAAGTGAAAGTGATAACACTATCCACACTTCTAGAACTGTAGTGAGAAATAATATATTTTAATAAACATTTCTATTTTTGGATTTACATAGCATATCTAAAAACAGAAATTGATTGTGTTTATTAAAAAGTCAAACATTCTAAAATTTGTAACATCACAAAGGCCTTTCTGATATACCCTCAATCTAAATCTTCCAAGTAGCACCCATTCACATAAACTAACGTACTCCTAAGAAAATAACAAATATAAAGATCATTCAATTTCACTGAGCAGCAATAATGGAAACCTACCCTGTGTCCATCCCCAATATACCAAAATGCTTAGAGTAAGTCAGATTTTAAAAATAAAACAACTTTGTTCTGATAAATGTATACACTTTTACATAGCAATTCTTTGATAAGTTTAATCAAAGATCTAAAGTTTACTTTCTCTATTTTCTTTTTTACCTTTTTGGAGTACATATATAAGTTTGGTGTTCTGCCTGGGACTGGAATGCCAGCTTTAGTTAGTTTTATGAAATACTTCTGCACTCGGCTGGCAACCTAAGAAAATATAATAAGCCATTTAACAAAATTACAAGACATCCGTTATGTGAATAGTTCTTAAAAATTAAAATATACCTGTGTTATCTTAATGAATGCTAACAATCTAAAATTTATCATAAATCTAGATATAATTTTAAACTGCCACCAAACTCATTTATATGTTAAAATCTAGACAAAAAATCATTAAAATACAGGAAATTTGTTGGACTCCAAAGCTAAACGCATATTTTCAACTTGTGAACACTGCAATAAAAACACATCTATTAATATCAATGGTAATGCAAAGAAGAAAACGGCTATATATTTTTTTAGAAAGACAATCAGAGATATTTACTAAGTATGTCACACATCTATTAGCACAGCCTAACCAAGTACACAACTTGGTGCACTCACTAAACATTCAAGAGACACTAAATACATTATATTCTTATTTTTTAGTAATGATCTGAAGCAGAATCATCTCAAGTTGTTTCTGAAGAAATCAACACAAAATATACAATGCTAAAAACAAAACATAACAAAAAAAATCACATACTATAGCACTGTGTAGCTTAAAAATGATGTGGCAAATTTTATGCCAAATGCATTATCCTTCATTAAAAAAACTATCAAAAACAGGCCAGCAATACGCGGCCATCTCCTCAATTACCTGCTTTGCTGTCCTATTGCCCAGTTCATCTGCAATCTTCTGCCAGCGTCGAGATTCTACTTCTTCAGGAGGGTATTTCAGGAGTAGCTGTTCAAGCTTTTTCTAAGACAAATCCAAGACCAAGTTTAATACTGAGTTTCATAAATAAATACATTTACATAAATGAATAAATACATTCACACTTCCTTTTAAACTATAATACACCCCCCACAACTCTGCGGGTTAGGTCACTAGAAATCCTTGATGCGGGAAAATTTTCTAGTAAGGAATTTAAGCTTTACTAGGAAAAATAAGATTAGAGCATAAACCTATGGAAGAACTTAAAGATTCTCTGGTCACTTAAGTAAAAACACAGCACCAAAAATTTTTTTAATTAATTAATAACACTTCATGCATTTTAATGATTTCCACTCACCACCTTTTCTTGCTAGACTATGTTTAGGCTTGCCCCATATAGATTTAACAAAAATATCTAAATTCATTTGGATTTAGACAGAAACTTAAACTTTTCCCTCCTTTGTGTGGTCTTCCACTCAAATATTTGATTTTTAAATCCTGAGCTATCCCCTAAATTGTCACACAGTGCTAAAGATGAAGAATAAACTGGATGCTTGAAATAAAGGTTTCCTAAAGCTTTTCGAAAACTGCTAACTTTATTATAGCTTAGGAGTTAATCCTCATATGAAAGAGAGATGTGTCTCAAACCTTATCCATGAACAGTCCTAGCCTCCTAGCCGTATGCCAAAATGTAACAGAACACTCTGGTGTGACTCTGTCAGCTCCCCTTCATAACAAAAACAAGAATTCACTTTGAGGCACTGTTTTACTTGGCCCTAGGTTTTTCCTCTCTCCCAAAGCTGCATTACAGAAACTTTAATCCACCCATTTCACTATCTTTTTCAATCTACTTCCCACAACCAAGATTCCCGATTTAAAAATCATCTCCAAATAGGAATTCATACGTTCTCAAAATCCAAAATTCTTGAAGTGGGCCAAAAAAAAAAAAAAAAGTATACAGAATGAAGTTTAATATTTTGAATTTTTGGTTAAGAGGGATCACACACAACAATATATACTTTACTCATAATACTGACTCTAATCTGAACCTTTTTTTTAACCTACACAATTCAGAAATATCTATTACCTGTTCCTCAACAGTCCACAGTTGGTTAAATGTTTCAGGTTTGGTATCATCACAAAGGCGTCCTCTTATCATCTGCATATAAAACAAGGCTTTTGTCAAAAATAACAAAGACTACCATTTGATATAGCCAAATAATACACATATTGTGGAATTTTTTAATTAATTTCAAAATATTTTAGTAAATTTATTATATAATGTATAATTTTTTATTGTTTAGAGAATGTTTTCACATTCCTTTATTTCCTTTGGTTTTATACTCCTAGCAATCCTGTGATATAGATGACAACAACTTCATTTTAAAGAAAAGGAAATATTACATTTCCATTCTGAACCCACATGTCAATCAAGGTTCATCTAAAAACTAGTGGCAAGGCCAGGACTCAAATCCTGGTTACATTACACTTACACACAAAGACCTCTTATTTTTAGAATAAACAGTACATGTCACACAGTGTACTAAGCATGTTACATGTACTATTCATTTATTCCTCACACAACTCTACAACACAAGTAATATTAACCCCTTTTTATATAAAAGGAAACTGCAGCTTGGAGGCTTTAATATAAATAACATTTGATGTTCCACCGCTGGTAAGCAATACAGCTGGGATTCCAACCCAGGTTTCTCTTAACTTCGAAGTTCATGTTCCCACTATCTTCAGTGAAACACTGCCTAAATTTTAAGAATACAAATCAGGAAATGTTAACATATTTTATCTATAACTCAAATCTTCCTACTCCAACACTTCATACTGTTTACCTGAGGACGACTGTTTGAGCCTTCTGGACCATCACTCAAAGGCAACATAGAATATGAAAGGGACTCTCCATCCTTCTTAGGATCTAAAGGACTTTTTGGTCTAGCAGGTAAACCTACTAAAAAGAAGACCATGTACAGGATTATTAAAGCAAGACCGCCAGATAGTTCTCTATGTAAATTCTTAACATGTAATTTCTTACCTTTATCAAAAACTAGCTTTACTCTCCTAGTATGTCTTTTACGATTTTTAAATTCTCTTTCAAAGTTCCCAAGGCTATTGGTATATTGGTCCCATACAATCTCAGGCAATTGAACAACTCTCTGTGGATATGGAAGCCCTATATCAGCCTGGGGGGAAAAAACGTGACAGTTTAAATTTAACTGAAACGTTCAGAGGACTCCAAATCTAAATTATAATCAACTGGGCACTTCTATTCACTGTTTGAATCCACCAGCCAATAAAGTTAAAGATAATATAGTCTAAACATTAAATAGTAAAAATGATAGCTGGTAAGGAAGAATGAATGATATAAGCACTATTTTTAGATACAGCTCCAAAGCTGAACTACATAGACATACTGTACTTTATCACTAACATACTTTAAACATAAATAACAAAGCCAAGAAAGGATTTTATCTCTAAGAACAGCATATGAAATGTTTTGATTACAACAGATGAAACTTGACACATGGAATTCATTTTAAATGTACTCCCGTGTTCATGACTTATTCATAAAACAATGAATTATTTTCACAATAATATAACTCTCATCACATATACAAAAAATTGTGACACCTTGAGAATCATAGCTACACCTTCATTCTACTTGGAATTAATTCAGTTACTTAACCAACCACCTTTATAGAAGTCATTAGTTGTCATAATTACTAAAAACAGATCATTATAATCAGTATCTTTTGATAGGGATTTTGGTTACATATATGCATGTTTTTTTTGCCAGAACTCACAGAATGGTACAATTAGAATTTGTGAATTTCACTATATAGAAATTTCACCTTAAAAATGTTTTAAAAATAAATTTTAGTTAATAATACACATTCTAAAGTAACTTGGTGTGAAGTGTTCATGTCTGCAACTTTAAAATGCATTCTTGCTACAAGATGGAATGATGAAAGATTGATAGATACATACATGATAAAGCAAATACAGTAAAATGTTAATTATAGAATTTAGGGGTGAATATGTGTATGTTAACTATATAATACTTCCAATTTGTCTGTGTACTTGACATTTTCCATAGTAGAATGCTGAGAAAAAATTAGCTCAAAAACTATGAAACTGAAAAGAAAAATCCAGTTTAACTGTTTGACACAGAATTCATAATTTTTATTTTATTTATATTACATTATCACCATCATCATAATAGTACACATTAGTCTAAGGTTCAACTTTTGCAAAATTAGAGTGTCTTTTAAAATAGTGACTGTAATACTGAAGGAAGCTAACAAGCCATAAATGTTCTCTGCATTCTATACAACAACATATACCACAAGTTTCCTCTATTTCAATTAGGAGTTTCTAAATGTCCATTAAAACAAACATATACATGTCAACAACTTATAGCATGGTAAATCTAAAGAAATAGGTAAATTAGGTATAGATGGTCCCCAACTTACGATGGTTCAACTTAGGATTTTTTCACTTTACAATGGTGTAAAAGTGACGTATGCAATAGAAACTGTGCTTTGAATTTTGATCTTTTCCCAGGGTGGCAATATGTAGTACAATACTCTCTCGTGCTGCTGGGCAGTGGCAGTGAGCCGCAGCTCCCAGTTAGCCACAGGATCACAAGGGTAAAAAATCAATACACTGACAACCATTCTGTTCCCATATAACCATCCTCTTTTTAACCTTCAGTATAGTATTCAATAAATTACATGAGATATTCAACACTTTATTATAAAACAGGCTTTGTGTGAAGTAATTTGGTCCAACTGCAGGCTAATGTAAGTGTTCTAAGCACCTTTCAGGTAGGCTAGGCTAAGCTATGAGGTTCAGTAGAATAGGTGTATTAAATGCATTTCGACTTATGATACTTTCAACTTAAGATAGGTTTATCAGGACATAACCCCATCTAAGTTGAGGAAGAATTGTATACATGAATAAACACACACACAAAAAAAGGAAAAATCAAACTTCTAAATTAAATCCAGCAGAAAAACTTCTTTGCAAGAAATGTAAGTCATAATTGTTCAAGTGTCTGGATTTAATGTAATTCTGTACAATTTGATAAAAAATGTTAAGATGGTCAATATCCCATCTCTGCTTCTGAGATAAAGTGAAAGGAAATTCAGTTCTAAATTATACCTGGAAATGGAGAACCAGCAAATAACTGACTGCCTATAAATCTAGTAAATAAGCATAATTGCATATTTTTGCCCAGCAGGGAACATGAATAAAGTAAGATCAAGTTTAATAAATCTTTAATATTTACTTTTCTATCACCATCTGTTTTAGTTGAATCAATTTTAAGTAACCACAGTAAGTGCTCTATCTTTTTGCACCAGCAAATGTTTAATAATGGCAATGCAGAATCAATAAACACCTAAGTGGACTCACTATACAAAGAGGGCAAACAGGATCCTAAAAAGTTTAGAAGTTTTAGCAAATCAATATACAGATTCTATATACATGATGATATTCAGTGATGTGAAGCATGGAGAGAAAGTAATGACTGCCAAGGAATAATACAGCTAGAGAAATCCAAATAATAAATTAATGCAACTAAGTGAAACAAAGTCCCCAGGGCTGTTCCCTCAACACCTAGTAGACCACTTTTTGTGACTCATTAAAAACTGGTAACTAATAACTATGTTACAGTGGTCATACTTTATAGGTTTTTTTGTTTTTTAAGGTGAGTAAGAAGAATCTTTTTCATAGTTTTTCAGTTTTAATGTTTTCATACAATGCTGATTAATATTACACCTCTCAAATTTATTGAACAATCAGTGGGTCCCTAATTCAAGACACACACTATGGTAATAAATGCACATCTAAATTATCTCCATATTTACATACAAGAAAGTGATAAAACCTTGAATCACTTTCAAATGGTTAACTGTTAAATATGAAAGTTCTGTTTTAAGGAAAAGAGAAAATTGAAAGGAATTTTTACACTAAAATAAAGGACATTACAAAATTAAGTAAAATTTGTATCTTATCCTCATGTCTTCGGCAACCATAACCTTAAAGACATTTAAAATAGTTTTTGTTCTTATTTTCTATCATATTACAAGGGAAATTACAAAAGTAACTTCTATTTAAAGCAATTAATAAACCCTAAAGTAATTTTTCTTTTCACTTTATTAATCCTGAAGTCGTGAAAGAAGGAATACTCTCTAAGATGGGAAAGATAACAGGAAAAGATCCTAAAAATGGCTAGGCAATAGAACAAGCTCCTAATATAAAAATATTCAATTAAAGTTCCCAGCTATTTTCATTGGGGTATATTTTGTGTGTTCGGGGGGGGGGGGGGCAGCATCATCCTGCCTTCAGTAGTATGGTTAGGTATAGAAGGGAAAAAAATGAAACACTTAAAAAATATTTACCCATATTGAAAGAATAAATCAAGTTATCACCAAATATATTCTCAGTAACAGTGCTCAAAAACAGTGCTAATATATACCTTCTTCTGGAGTTTCTCCACAAATCCAATGGGATTTTTTAGTGCTTCTTTCTGGTGTTTGCCTAAACTTTCAAGGTCCTGGACTGCTTGAGAACGCTGAGCCTCGAGTACAGCAATCGTCTGTAACAGTCTCTGATAACTACAGAGACAAAGAAAAATACCTCACTAAAATTTTCTAGTAAGAACAATAAATTAAAAACTGAGTTCAAGCCATGATCTACTATTAAGCCACACAGTCTTTTTAAAGTTACCTGAAAGAGTTTAGTAAAACATATTACTGGGAATAAATGAGGTCTTCCTGAGTTACGAAGTACCTAGTCAGAAAATATCAGTTAGAGAAAGCAAAGCCTTATTCCCCCATCTTAAGTTTTTAATTCTTGAACCTGAACAAGTAAAGAAAATAAGAAGGCATCTTGACTTTCCAGCAAAGTCATTAGGAAACTGCTAAATAAAAATAAAATAAAATCATAAGGTTTTAGCACTAGGAGGAATCAGCAAATCCAGCCCCTCTGTTGTACTCTGTTGGGAGTAAGGAATCCGAAGTACATTTTCTTGCCCAGAGTTACAGGAAACTGTCAAATAATTCAGATATGATCTTAGGTGTCATGGTTTTCATTTACTCTATTATACTCCCACACAGGAAGTTTACTTTCTAGGCAATTCTTAACTATTGAACACTTTTAAAGAAAGGCCTTAAAGATATTTACTCCCTATCTACAAAGGTCTGTTTAGCACAACTGACATATAGTTTTACCCAGAAAAATCTACTGTCTGTCATTATCCTGAAATCTCACGATGGTATGTGTATACTAGTTAATTCTCTTTATCTCTCTCTCTCTCTTTTTGGTACAAATTGTCCTGCTTCTCTGACTGATGTCTATTTCCACATGTTGATACACATACATATGGAAATAAGTTACCCCAAAATCCTGAATGTTCGAATACACTGTGCAAAAACAATCAAGAACAAGTCATTCCAAGTTTGCTTCAAACTAAGTGGTTAAGTCCTTAACGTGTAAGTAAAACATAATTTTCTTTATGGCTTCAAATAAATTTCACTCCATTTCCCACTAGACTGTAAACTCCATAATGGCAAACACATCTGAGAAGTTCACTGTTTTATCCACTGTGCAACACACTTCCCAGCATATAGATGATCAATAAATATTTTTTGATTGAACAAATGAATAAACAGATGTTCTGTGCAACCAAAGTCTCTTTTAAGTTCAGAAGTCTGCAAACCAGCAGAAATTTCAAAGGTAAGACAATGTAATTCTAAGGTTCACAGCCATGGCATAATTCCAACATGACATTCTTCACCAGGACACTTTTTAAGCGCCCTGCCTAAAAAACATACGTTATTCTTGTTCTTGAAATGTTTATATTAAGGTAAAAACTGCTAACATTGAAGGGTAAATTCCTCTGAAGCTAAAGATACTTCATTGAAAAGTTAGAACTGAGTTAGAAAGCAAGGACCATACTAAGTCACTCCTGGATAAGTTACAGATATGGAGTCTAAACTCACTTTCACAAAGCTCTCATTTGCTTTGAAATGTATGGAGCATACAAACCCTGCCTATGCTGGCTGTTTCCACCAGGAAGGCTCACCCAGGCTCAATCTTAAGGTGACGGTAGTGAGCTGAGTACTGGAACCTATCCTCTCTACAATACTCTGAACTGCCTGCCACACTTCAACTTCAGAAGTCCTTCCCCACTAAGTGAAAAACAAAAGACTTCTCATCGTGTCTCTATAACATGATCTCTGTTTTAAGCAAGAGTTGCATACTTCTGTATCATCAATATAAAAATGGCTATGAGCCTATTAAATTTTCAGCAAACTGTTGAAAGCACAGTTAACAATTAATAAGGAACAAGAACAGAGTTACAGAAAAAATAAGCACAGGCTTGAAAAAAAGTGCAACAGTCAGGGCACCTGGGTGGCTCAGTCGGTTGAGCGTGTGACTTCAGCTCAAGTCATGATTTCATGGCTTGTGAATTTGAGCCCTGCTTTGGGCCCTGTGCTGACAGCTCAGAGCCTGAAGCTGCTGCAGATTCTGTCTCCCTCACTCTCTCTGCCCCTCCCCTGCTCTCTCTTTCTTAAAAATAAATAAAAACACTAAAAAAAAAATTTTAAAAAAGTGCTATAGTCAGTTGTTGCCACTAGGAAGAAAGCCTCTCTTTGAAACCAATAAATTGTTAACAATTTTTAGTGTACTTAAAGTATTCCACAACTCTGACTTTAAAAAAATATTTCAACAGATATGACAAAGTATAATTCTTCAACCTCTATTTGCTTCTCTTTTATCAAGATAAAATGATTATCAAATTGAAAGGCCTATAATAAACATTGGTAAAAGTCTTAAAATCCAGACTAAGTGAAATTAAGAAATATTAAGAAAATTAAGAAATATTGAGAAAATAGTAAAGTCAAGTCTTCTAGTCCACCTAATTTGAATTATTTCCTAGAGTATTCAGAGATTTTACCAGTAAGATTAACACATATATCCCCATACAGAAATGGAAGGAACTGTAAAAACCTGGGGTGACATCTTAAAAAAATATATATATGAAAAAAATTTTAAAAATATGATACAAGCAAACATATTTTCAATCCCACCTACCCACCCACTTAACCTCCAAAAACAAACTACTGGAAGCTGATCCAGACATCAATCAAGGCAGGATTCATTTGCTCATTAATTTCATAATTATTTACTAAGAGAATAAGATGCTAAAGCTTTAGTAATTATCAAAGTAAATCAGGCATGGACTTTAGGTATAACAGAGGAGCTACAATTACACCAAAGAGGGAGAAAAAAAGCTATACAGGACTGAATGGACAGGATTGGCCATTTTGTTGGGGACAGAGGATGGGTATGTGAGGGTCCATCATATTAGTCTACATTTTTGTAAGTCTGAAATTCTCCACAATGAATTAAAATAAGAAAACTTCAACTTAATGGAGGATGTTACCATTGTATTCCTCCCGGACTGGTCAGATCATCCCTCTTACTATATTCAGTTCTGCTTTACGAGAGACAAACAGGTTCATGAAAAGACAAGATGGATGAGAAAGTATAGAATAAGAAATAACAGTAGTGTCTAACATTTACTGAATGTATACTATAAGCCAGACATTGTATTTTAAGTGTAATAACACAGTCCTCATTATAAACTTGTAAGATAGGTACTATTATCTCTATTTTACAAATAAGGAAACCAAGGCACAGAGTAAGTAATCTGTCAAGATCATATAGCCATTTATTGTGGAGATGTGAGGTAAAGAATGGTTAAAGACTCTAAGAATATTTAGCCAAGAAATTAAATCCTCCAGTAGAATACTGTTTCAATCTTTATTTAATACACAGCTATGCAGAAAAGGAAACAGATTTGTTTTACAGGGTCAAGAGTCAAACAAGAATCAAATTCTGATAAAGGCACAATATGAAGAAAAACATTGTCTTAGTCAAAACTAATAAATGAAGGCAGCATAGCACCCAACCACAGATATTCATACAGATATTTAAAGGAAATTCAAGCACTAAAAATACTCACACTCTTTAATTCCAGTAAAACATGCTACTTTCACACTTTTGCTACTCATTCAACAAAGTAATCTGTAGAATGATTTTTTTTAATGTATATACTTTTGTATGAATGCAAATATAGTAACATCATTCCCACAAGGACAACTCTGTATTAAATCTATCAAAAATATTTATTTCTAAAAATGAATCCAGTGCTAAAAATAGTAGGCTTACCTGTGGCAAAGAATTGTTAATTTTATTGTCGCATGTCTTCAACATAAGACAACTTTAGCTTTTATATTATGGAATTATATTTGACTAAAATATAAATACTCTTCAATTCTAAATCTAAGTTATTTCACTACCGTTCATTATCGAAGCCCTCTTGAATTCTTTATTTACATCTGTGAATATAACACATTTATATAAAAGAGTATATATAGGTGAAATTTTTGGTGTCTACAAGAGAATACCAAGAAATTAGCAGTCTAGAAGTTTCATTTTAATGTCCAATTTCTATACACACTTTAAGAGAGACAAAGGAAGAAAGAATAAGATTTTATTTTCAACTAAACGAGAATCTTTCCCAAGAAATTAGACTTCCATTTCTATTGTGGAAACAACTTTTAAGGTTGCATGGCATTTGCTATCTTAAAAAAATAATGAGGGAACATTTTTAAAAACCCAAGTTGGGGGGCATCCTGCCAAAAAGTTGACCTGATTGTTCAGTCATTAAATAGTGTCATTAAAGACAAAAAAATATAGAAAGCTATTCTAGACAAGAGGTCTACAGCCTTTAGCCTGTTTTTATAAACAGAGTTTTATTAGAACATAATCACACTCATCCGTTTACATAATGTCCATGGCTGCTTTTTTAGCAACAATGACAGAGTGGAATAGTTGCAAAGTACAGCTGATCTCCAAAGAAAAGTCTGCTAGGCCTTGCTCTAGATTAAAGATGCAGAGATATGACAATCAAATGTGACATATGATCATGAATTAGGTCTCACAGGAGGAAAAAATGGACATTTCAGGGGACATTTTTGGGGATAGATGGGAAAATTTTAAATATGGATTATAAATTATATCATTTTATTGCATCAATGCCAGACTGCTGGGGCATAATAAGGTATTTAAGGTTATGCAGGAAAATATTCTAATTTTTAGGAGATGTATACTGAAGTGTAAGGGTAATGAATCTATAATATACTTTTAAATGGCTCAACAAAAAAAAAAGAAAAAGAAAGAAAAGTTTATAGTACATAGGACGGGAGGGAACATGAGGGGAAAGGGAGAAAGGGAGAGAATATTATAAAATGTTAAGCTAAAGAGCGCTGGGGTAGCTCAGTCGGTTGAGCACATGACTTCAGTTCAGGTCATGATCTCATGGCTCATGAGTTTGAGCCCCACACTGGGCACTGTGCTGACAGTTCAGAGCCTGAAGCATGCTTCAGATTCTGTGTCTCCCTCTCTCTCTGCCTCTTCCCCACACTCTCTCAAATATAAACATTAAAAAAATTTTTTAATGTTAAGCTGTTGACTGATGAATTTAGCTGAAGGGCATACTATCCTTCTAGCTTTTCTAACTTTTATATATTTTCTAAATAAAAAC